GCTTAGTGAGTGCAGTTGAGTTTAGGGTGACCCCTTCAATCAGGGCAAGCTAAAGGGCAGCAGAACTGTGCTTACTCATACAATAAGGATAACATTTCATTAGCACTAATAAAATTGAATCCAGGGGTAATGTTAAAGATTATATAATATACAGGTTAAGAAGAGTGTCTCTGTACATCTAGGTATAGTACTTAGATTTAAAACAAACTTTGTATTTGTGGATAAGGTCGTAAGATACATAGTGCATAATCAGCAATAACCCAAATGTAGATAAATTTAATGATACAGTTTAGATATTAGAATCTGAATACTTGGGTACATCACTCATGAAAAGTTATACAGAGAGTTGGTTGTAGAAAGCAAATATAGGAATGAGTGTAGATTGTCCCTCAGTATTTGAGAAATTAGGGTAGGTTGTCCATTACAGAATACAATCCATCAGGGCAGTATTTCAGTTACATTCCCAACTGCGCTTCTCATCGGCACTCCAGCTCATCTCTCCTGGTATTGCCGCTGTCCTCTAGATAGTGATTTGTAACCCAAAACCAGCCAAATGTGATCATTTTGGCAAAACAACTCCATCATGCTATGCACCTAGGCAGAGTAGCATGTCTGTGCAAACACGGTCTACTCCTGAGGTCTTTTCCCCCAGCTCATCACTAGATGTCAGGGGAGAGCTCATTCAGACACTGCTTGCATATATAAGATTGTAAGTTTGGATAAAATTAGATGCATGTCATTGAGAGCAATACAGAAGCTTCACTGATTCCTCTCAAAACACTTCACACCATCCTGAATCCAAAGATTTTAATTCTTTCATCTCTGCCCCTTCCTTCTCTTGAAAGAAGTGAAAATGACCCCCATCCCAGCAGGGCGGCTGTTAATTATGATTTGAGCTGGTAGAAAACAATTTTTTGCTAAAACATTTGGGAAAATATGATTGTTTCCCTCCCCCTTCTCTCCTTTTCCATCTTTTGTCTACAGAAGAGAAAGGGGGGGAAGGGGGTGGGGAGACGAATAAGGGGGGACCCCTAAAACCCACCCACAATATTTTTGTGAAACAAATTTTCTGCAGAAATTTTCATTTCCATAAAACACTATTCTTCACTGAAAAATGTTATCCAAGAGAGTAGTGTGATCAGCTGTAGTTATGACAAGCTTTCTATCTAGGTTTTTCTACTGCACTCATGACTGTAGTATCAGAATGGATTCCAAAAAAGTCAGACAAATATTAAGAGTCTCTGTTTGTTCTCTCTCCCACGTTCACCAACATCTCTCGCACTGGCACACACCAACAGTATCTGTAAGAGCACTAGGGAATTTAACTCCAAGAAGGGGGTAATTGGCAAGAGTCTGGAGCTGGCAGCAATAAAGATTTTGAAGCCATGGGGAAAGAGAGCTGAAGGAGCAGGCAGGTGGGAATGGGCATGGAGCCAAGCTTGAACGAGGGAGGTTGTGGTGAAGGGGACTTGGGTGTGTCAGAGACCTTTCCAAAGTTTCTTTGGACAAAATGGCACTAATGCTTATGCATAGCTGTAGTGACTAAGGGAAAGGCTGCTACTGGTTACTGCAGTAACTAGTTCTCTACTGGTGTAAATGCATTTCCTACCTCCAGCGGTTGAAAGCTGATCATTCTCAGCTACCACCTTTCCATTATGATCTAAAAGAGTAAAGGAACTAAGAACAGCCATAATGGGTCAGACCACAGGTCCATCTAGCCCAATATCCTGTCTTCCGACAGTGGCCAATGCCAGGTGACCCAGAGGGAATGACCAGAACAGGTAATCATCAAGTGATCCATCACCCATTCCCAGCTTCTGGCAAACATAGGCTAGGGACATCATCCCTGCCCATCCTGGCTAATAGCCATTGATGGACCTATTCTCCATGAATTTATCTAGTTCTTTTTTGAACCCTGCTATAGTGTTGGCCTTCACAACATCCTCTGGCAAGGAGTTCCACAGGTTGACTGTGCGTTGTGTGAAAAAATACTTCATTTGTTTTAAACCTGCTGCCTATTAACTCAGCGTTTGATCTGAGCAGTGTCTGTACTTTAGCCACCTCCCTAGAAGGGACAAAAATAGATCATTTCCCACCACTGATTCTGCTCTATTCCACATCTGGTTCTCTTTTTAAACACACCTCATAATTGACATAGGGAGATCAAACTAGGACAAATGTAAAACCTTGCACATGGACTTGTATATGGACTGCCTGCTCCTCCTCTCTCCTTTTCTATACTGTCTGTCAATATACACCGCTACCTCGATATAACGCAACCCGATATAACACGAATTCGGATATAACGCTGTAAAGCAGTGCTGTGGGGGGGGCGGGCTGTGCACTCCGGTGGATCAAAGCAAGTTCAATATAATGCGGTTTCACCTATGATGCAATAAGATTTTTTGGCTCCCGAGGACAGCGTTATATCGAGGTAGAGGTGTAGTACCTAACCACACCTGACCTTTAACACTCATAGGTACAACATACCTAGAACTTCACCCCCACCCTCCAAAAAAGTGCACGGGAACAAGCTGTCCTGAGATAATCCTGTGTCCCTGTTTCTTTTTTTACAAGCAGAGGGCTCCTACGTGTTTTTATTTGCAGGAGCTGTTTCCTCATTTCTCCCTGAGCTGTGCATGTCAGACGTGAGCAGGGAGCTCCTGTTCCAGGAACTATTCCAATCTAATACGTGAGGGCAAGACTGACTCCCAAAGCAGGGACAAATGACTCATGCTAGTATTAAGAAATATTTAACCCCTTGGTGCCAGTAGTCAGGCTTTCCAACACTAAGCACTTATAAAAAAATGCAACTCCAAGCAGATATTAACTGAAAGAAGCAGTTGAAAGTATACAGGCAGCTAGGTTTTTGTTTTAAATTCAGGCTACCAATGAAACAAAGGAATTTACATAAGACCTCTTATAACAGAAGTACCTCAACTGTATCTGCCTTGGCACACATTCTCCCCTCTCTAAGGCAGCATTATTATTGCTTGTAAAAACTCAAAACATCCTACATTAAAAGTAGCCCATGGAGGCGGATGACATTCGAAAGGGGCCAGACAAAACTGACACACGCACAAAGAATCAATTACCAGCACTGTTAACAAAAATTACTTGCCTGATGGCCCGGAAGGCAATGGTGTCACAAAGGAGCCACCACTAAAAAGATAGAGGGTGCCAGCAAAAGGCCAGAAATTCAAATAAATCCAGTCCAGCAGCAGTCAAGAAAAAAAAACACCCTAATGTTCTTAATGGATTCTAACAGGATTGAAAGTATTATAATGCTATTATATAAATCAGTGGAATGACCTCACTTAGACTGATCACCGTATTCCATCTAAAAAAAAGGAATTCAGAGACAGGCAACAAAAAGTAGAGCAATAGAAAAAATTGTTGGTGACAAGAGTGAAATACCTGATAAATAAGAGGGGATAGGATAATGGTTAACAGGATATTGAATGGTACCGAGAGGTAGAGCAGGCATTTCTATTTATCTTCTCCTAAAACAAGAACAAAATGGAGACTCCAAGCTACTGAAAGGCAGCAGATTTAATGCTGGTCGTTTTATTCAGTACAATTAACTTGTAGAACTCATGGCCATGTGATGTCAGTGAGGCCACAAGCCTTGCAGGCTTCAGGAAAGGATTGGATATTTTTATGATGATTGACAGGAACATCCAGAGTTTCAACTGTCAGGATTTAAAAACTAAAACACACACCAGAAGTTTGCAAGGGCAAGAAACGCACATTTTTCTGGGTACAAACCAACTGCTAATTGAGGGGTTCAAAAGGTCCTGTTACGCAGATTGCCCACTTGAAGATTTCTTCAACCTTCCTCCGAAGCATCTGATAGAAGCCACTGTCAGAGACAGTATTCTGGACCAGACAGACCTCTATGGCAATTCCTACAGATATTGTACAGAATCACACCTCAGCACAGGCAATTCATGTCTCCTGATACGGGGGTGGGGGGAAGGGTTGAGGGAAACACTCTAAAGGGGAGGACAGGTGACCACCCCACAACTCTTCTGCCCAGTGACCCCTCCACGCCCATCCCAGGGCCACCGCACTCTCTCCGCCCCCTGGCAGGCGGGCATGGGCAAGAGCAGAAGGAAGCTGCTTCTCACACCAGCTGAAGCTGGCTGCTCCAGGTCACTGCTCTGTGCAGTGTAAGAGCTGCTTGAGAAACAGAGCCCGGCTAGGGAGCCCTCCTGCCTGGGCCCAGCTGCCAGGGACAGGGACCCAGTGAACCAGAAATGTAGGGAGGGGACCCCGGCTTGCTCAGCCCCTGTCCCCAGCAACCAGGCCCAGGCAGGGAGTGGCCTGCCACAGAACAGCAACCCGGAGCGGCGGGTCTCTCCCCTTCCGATCTCCGCCCAGGCCCGACTGCCAGGGACAGGGGCTGAACACGCCAGGGGGCAGGCACAGCAGCAGGACGGAGCCCCTCCCCCCACCCTGGCAGGCCAAGCAGAAATCTGGGGGGGGGGGCATATGGCCCACATATTCCCCACACATCATCTATTCACCTCAGTGTCTTGTCTATGCTTAATGTGAGCTTGAATATTAAGTTAAAAATTTTTTTTAGGTATCCTTAATGGTAGTGTCACAAAAAACAAACAAAAATGCTATGGCAGCCAGTTTGTAGTATTTTCTACCTTTTTTGTTTTAATTGCACTCCAGGTACCATGCCTTCTTGAACTATTCCACCTCACTTAAGTTTGAATGAAGCGACACTCCTGCAGTTCGCTGACATGGTATTAACCAATGGCTTGCCTACTTGTGGCAAGCAACATTAATCTGCAAATATGGATTAATACTAAATACTGAAAAACCTGAGTAGAATTTAGATGAAAAGTTGGGTACTTTGTGTGCATGTTAGCCACTTTAGCTAATTTAGACTTTTCAGAAACCTCAGCTGCATCAAGTAAATAAAAATGGCATTTCTTCCCCTGGAAATAGGCTGCACAGTTCCATGGAAAACTAGAGAGAAGATGGTCTGAGATTCCCTTGCCTTTATTGGTTTCCTCCAACTCATTGTATGGTGGTGATACATTGCTCCTCTCTGGAATGAATACAGTTTGCCTCCAAATCCCAAAGCTCTCCCAGGACATATAAAACCATCTCCACTGCATTGGCTCTTGGCCCCCAGCCTCTCATTAGGGGCTCAGACAATGTAGCTCCAATAGGAAGATGTTGCAATGCATCTGAACAAATGAAGAATGAGTCACATTTAAATATGAAGTTATTTCCCCTCTATAATGTATTCAAGTTTCATTTATCAAGCTCATTCAGAGAGCAAAATGCCAGACCATCCTCTGAGAGTGAATTTTGATTTAGAGATAACACAATCCACACACAGAGAATAAGTCCAATAAAAAAGCCACACCCAAGCTGTTAAAACTGTACAAAGAAATTGTTCCATGAATGTAAAAGCGCTACCATTGAGAGAAGTTATTCACAGCTAATCTACTCAAATCGCCTTTTACTGTGCATATAAATCTTCTCACATTTGTTATTCTAGTTAACTCACTTGTTTTTTACTCCAATAGTTCATAATGAGCAGCAGTGAGTATTCAGCACTCCTGTTCCAAAGTGTAAGCTGTGCTGGACAGTAGCAATTGCCCACTGGTAAAATGGCATCATTTCTGTTCCTGACTGAGTGAAGGTAACAAGCACGATAACCGCAGTGGTGGCTAAAAGTTTTCAGTCTGTGGGAAGCATCATGGAAGATTGAGAGAATTGGAGAAGACTCTTAGCTTTTCCTTTCTGGGCCACACAACAGCCTTAAGAGAAAAAAGACTGCAAGAAAAACCTCTTGCTACAGTGAGAGATTTATTGGTTGTGTGCAGCTTTTCCCCCGCTGCCATTATACTCACACAAAGTAATTGTGGGTATGGTCTTAGCTGTGAAAGGTGCAGTCAGAGATCCTTGTCTGGCTCATTTAATTGCCTCTGTGCTGGGACTGTAGAGAGATTTTGGAAATCTTCTTTAGTGTGTTAAAGCAGCATTGTTTTAATATACTTACATATAGATATAATTACTTGAACAAGTGATCTTTACTTTCACTCTACAGGAGCACTACCACAACTGAAGCTCAATAGCTTAGGTACTCACAGGAAACATATACCCTGTTTCCCCGAAAATAAGACAGTGTCTTATATTAATTTTTGCTCCCAAAGATGCGCTAGGTCTTACTGAGTCGGAGA